GGAGGGGCTGGGTGGGGAGGGGCTGGGTGGGGAGGGTGGGGCTGGGTGGGGGGTGGGAGGGAGGGGTGGGGCTGGGTGGGGAGGGGCTGGTCACCCCGTGGTGCCCTTATAAAACTCAACGTTTAACCTACTCACGCCGTCTTGTGCCCGCCCTCACAGTCGGGCATATTTGCGGAATACACCACGCCGCCGTTGACCCTGGCCATTGACCGAGCAACCCAACGTTCCTACCAGCTCCCTCCGCAGCAGGAATGTGTTTTAATCCAGGATAGGGAAGAGACCAGGATACACCATCATCTCATTTTGTAATTGTGAGCAGATATCAACAAAATTACAGAGGCAAACACATTTAACTAGAATAAAGTACAGCAATGAAGAAAATTGAAATCAGCGCAAAAACAACCGTGTCACGTGATAATACATTTGTAAATACATTGAACACATGTTTGAAAATATATGGGTGCAACATACATCGTTCTAGATTTGAAGTTTTAGTGACTGCAAGGATCCATACTCTTTGGTTCTTTCTGTAAAGTCACGTTGGTGAAATAAAAAAAAATAAGAATTAATATAAAGAATAGAATATAAATAACAAAATTAAATCACGACGTTTCGGAAGCAACACAAGCTATTTTAAAATTTAAAAAAAATGTTAATATTTTATTTTTAAAAAAAATGTAACAAAAAAAACTTAATTTTTAACAATTTTTTTTTCATTTTTGCTGTGGTTGTCCCACCTGATGACGGAAGCTTGTGTTGCTTCCGAAACGTCGTGATTGAATATAGTTATTTCAATTTTTTTTCACCAACATATATCGTTTTGAAAGACAATACAATCGACTTGAGAGTACATACAGCAATGAAGGTTCCACGGTAGCTAGGAGATGTTAACTACCTCGCCTGGTGTACAGGAGGTCGTGGGTTCGCACCCGACCCTGGCCGCCTGCCTTCGTTTTGGAGTTTGCATTTTTCTCTCCCCCCGTGGTCGCGTGGTTTTTTTTTCTCTCTGGGTCCTCCGGGTTTCCCCCCCCCCCCCTCCGCATTTAAAATCAACATCACGCGTTCAGGCTGCCGCTATCAATGTCCACGTGGTGGATAAGCAACATTTCGCAGAGCTATCATTTGCGAAAGAACCAGGTCGCTTCTGAAAATCAGCCACATGGCTCAGTGATCCTTACCTGTTTTCTTTTTTAAATGTGTCTTTTAAGTTTAGGGGCCGTCCATAATGACGTCACGCGATTTTGGACGATTTTTGACCCCCCCCCCTCGTCACACGGCGTCACAAAAAGTCAGAACCCCCCCTCAAATATGACGTCACAAAGCTCTGACCCCCCCCCTCAAAAATAAAACATGCTTCAAATATCTTTAAACTATTGTCATTGTAGTGCGTATTTAATGTGACGCTGCACTCTGATGTTGTAGGAGAAAACATTTATGCTGGTAGGAACCTCCTGGTAACACCAGCCCACAGGGGATTATTGTGTCCGTCCGTCGTACAGGGAGGGGCTGGTGGGGAGGGAGGGGCTGGGTGGGGAGGGGAGGGTGGGAAGGGGCTGGGTGGGGAGGGTGGGGAGGGGCTGGGTGAGGAGGGTGGGGCTGGGTGGGAAGGGGCTGGTCACCCCGTGGTGCCCTTATAAAACTCAACGTTTAACCTACTCACGCCGGCTTGTGCCCGCCCTCACAGTTGGCCATATTTGCGGAATACACCACGCCGCCGTTGACCCTGCAGGCCATTGACCGAGCAACCCAACGTTCCTACCAGCTCCCTCCGCAGGAATGTGTTTAAAGTTGCGCATTTTGATGTGATGTCACATTTCTTAAACCCCCCCGCCCCGCTCATGACACATCACAATCTGACCCCGCCCCTAAGGTGCATGACGTCATTTTAGGACGGCCCCTTACCGATTAAGATGGAACTTGACCTCCATCTAGTGGTAACACTCAAGACTGCCACCTTGCACGCGTTCCCCCGCATCCCTTACGCTAGGAGGTCGTGTGGCCACACTTCACCAGCGCGCGTTGGCAAAGGGTCAGTGGGGAGCGTTGTGACTCACGCAGCAAAGGTTGGTCACCTGAGTTCAATTCCCAACCCCGGGGGGAGTCTTTTCTGCGTGAATATGCGAGGAGCGATGACTGAAACCATGCCCCAATCGAGTTTGATTCACCGCTCACGGTCGACACCACCAGTGACGATTGTCTGCAACCGGTCCTAGGTATCCCCTAAGTCGACTCAGCCTCAAATTAGTACTCGGTGCTATGTTTAAACATCGCCACGAGGGAGACAAAGGCAACCCATACGGTTTACCGGTATTCTTGTACAGGGAAATCGAATTTTTCGATACAGCCGTTTCAATAGGGCAACAAAAATACGTTTTTTGGGGTCTATTTGTTTGTGTTTCTCCCTTGTGATGGGACTTTGAAGGATTTAACGGTCTGAATTTGTCTGTAATAAGGTAGGGCACTGATAAGGGGTTGACAGGTATGTAGTGGTGAGTGTAGTGGTGATGAGGGTAGTGGTGGTGAGTGAAGTAGTGGTGAATGTACTAGTAGTGAGTGTAGTGGTGATGAGGGTAGTGGTGGTGAGTGTAGTGGTGGTGAATGTACTAGTGGTGAGTGTAGTGGTAGTGAGTGTAGTGTTGGTGAGTGTAGTGGTGGTGAATGTACTAGTGGTGAGTGTAGTGGTAGTGAGTGTAGTGTTGGTGAGTGTAGTGGTGGTGAGTGCAGTGGTGGGGAGTGTACTAGTAATGAGTGTAGTGGTGGTGAGTGCAGTGGTGATGAGTGTACAAGTGGTGAGTGTAGTGGTGGTGAGTGTAGTGGTGGTGAGTGCAGTGGTGGTGATTGTCTATTTGTTTGTGTTTCTCACTTGTGATGGGACTTTGTAGGATGAACGTTGAGATTTGTAAGGACACGGAGTGACCAATAAAATCTGAATTTGTCTGTAATAAGGTAGGGCACTGATAAGGGGTTGACAGGTATGTAGTGGTGAGTGTAGCGGTGGTGAGGGTAGTGGTAGTGAGTGCAGTGGTGGTGAGTGTACAAGTAGTGAGTGTAGTGGTGGTGAGTGTAGTGGTGGTGAGTGCAGTGGTGGTGAATGTACTAGTGGTGAGTGTAGTGGTAGTGAGTGTAGTGTTGGTGAGTGTAGTGGTGGTGAGTGCAGTGGTGGGGAGTGTACTAGTGGTGAGTGTACTAGTGGTGAGTGTACTAGTGGTGAGTGCAGTGGTGGTGAGTGCAATGGTGGTGAGTGTACTAATGGTGAGTGCAGTGGTGGTGAGTGTACAAGTGGGGAGTGTAGTGGTGGTGAGTGTAGTGGTGGTGAGGGTAGTAGTGGTGAATGTGCTACTAGTGGTGAGTGTAGTGGTAGTGAGTGTAGTGGTGGTGAGTGTAGTGGTGGTGATTGTCTATTTGTTTGTGTTTCTCACTTGTGATGGGACTTTGTAGGATGAACGTTGAGATTTGTAAGGACACGGAGTGACCAATAAGATCTGAATTTGTCTGTAATAAGGTAGGGCACTGATAAGGGGTTGACAGGTTTGCGAACCTGGCTACCCGGGTTCGATTCCCGCTCACGGCCAACACCAAGTGACGATTATTTGAACCGGTTACCTGGGCCCTCCCACCCTCCTAGGTCGACTCAGCCTCAAATTAGTACCTGGGTGCGGTGCGTAAACATCGTCACGAGAGAGACAAAGGCGGCCGGGCGTGGTTGCTGGCCACCCACCCCCTCGTGTGCCAACACTGGTGCTGCTATTGCGCCCAACAGTCTGTTAAAGGGGCCATCCATAAATGACGTCACGCGATGTTGGACGATTTTTTTAACCCCCCCCCCCCCTTGTCACACGGCGTCACAAAAAGTCAGACCCCCCCTCATATGACGTCACAAAGCTCTGCCCCCCCCCCCCAAAAAAAATGAATCATGCTTCAAATCGCTTTAAACTATTGTCATTGTAGTGCGTATTTAATGTGGCGCTGCACTCTGATGTTGTAGGAGAAAACATTTTTTCAAAAGTCTATTTAATGAAGTAGAACGTGTTGTCTATATTTATTTAAAGTTGTGCATTTTGAGGTGCGTAACGTCATTTATGGACGGTCCCTTATCATATAATTATTTATACTCTTTGGTTCTTTCGGTAAAGTCACGTAGGTATCAAATAAAATATATAATTAGATTTATTTTATTATTAAAATAAATCATTCAATTCATTTCATTTAAATAAATAATTATGTGTTTTTATTAAATAAATCATTCGATTTATTATTAAAATAAATAATTCAATTTATTTTAATAAAATAAATCATTCAATTTATTTTATTAAAATAAATAATTCAATTTATTTTATTAAAATAAATAATTCAATTCATTTTATTAAAATAAATCATTCAATTTATTTTATTAAAATAAATAATTCAATTCATTTTATTAAAATAAATCATTCAATTTCTTTTATCTTCTACCTACGTGACTTTACCGAAAGTGTTTGATGCTGCTGTAGGTATAAAATAAAATAACTCATTCAATTTATTTTATTAAAATAAATAATTCAATTCATTTTATTAAAATAAATAATTAAATGCATTTTTTTAAAATAAATCATTCAATTTATTTTATTAAAATAAATAATTCAATTTATTTTATCTTCTACCTACGTGACTTTACCGAAAGTGTTTCATGCTGCTGTGTTCTGTAAAGCCTTGATGAAAAGCCGCTATGTAAATGTAATTATTATCATCATCACTTAGTGGCGAACGGCGGCTGCTGCTCTTGATATTATAACGAGTTTTCTTCAGGGGATTCGCTTTATTATTTGATTAACAAACGTGTACATTCTACACGATTACTTCACCCGTAGAGCATTGTCGTGTCATCCTGTGACACGTTACGTTTCAGTATAGAATTCAAATTAACCGGAATCGATTCAATAATCGTTACTCAAATGGAATCGATTCGCACTGCACTGCAAGAGAACCCACGAAAGCCTCGATTCCGGAATCGATTCAAAGAATTTATAAGAATCGTCTCAATTTTTTTACCCGCCAATTTTTCCCCCCCTTCAAGTTTTACTCAGCGAACGGTCCCGATAATCGCATTGATTTGAACGCTTTTAGTGAATAGTCGCGAGGACGTTAAAACAACAATTTTTGACTCATTTTCGGGATTTTTTTGTCGACTAAATCGGTAGAAATGCCCGTCACAGACCGAGCTCTCCTACGCTTCGCTAAGCTGAGCGCCAACGCCGTGGCGCCCTACAAGGCATCCGACAAGGCCGCAGGATTCGATCTCCACAGGTTAAACTTTCTCTTTTTATTCTCGTATATCATCATCATCATCATGTTCGTCTTTATCTCTGTCGTCAACATCGTCAGACACGCGCTATCCACTGCTGGATGAAGGTCTCCGCTAACGATCCCATCCGCTCCGTCTCCCCGCTGGACGGTCACCCAGTAATTTATATTTATTTTAAAAACGTCAAATTAAAATATAATTCTAGATTTGAAGCTTTCGTGACTGCAAGGATTCATATTCTTAGGTTTTTTCGGTAAAGTCACGTAGGTAAAAAATGTAAATTAATAAAAGTAAAATATATAATATCATTACGCTCCACGTTATTTGGCGAGTCTGCGTTGACAGTGGTGTAACAAGCACAGTTAACAGAAACTCAACACGTTTGTGTTAATAACACTGCATTAATACAAAATATATAATCGTCGACGTTTCGTGCAATGGCCCTACTTCATTGCTTTATTACAATACGGTGTAAATGTTTGTATTGTATTATGTTGAGTTATTTGTATAAACGTAGCACTAACGTTTGCAACGATTTTATCTGCTGCACCTTCATTGGTGGCTTGGATTATTGGCGGGAAAATTTAAGCGCCTCATCCCTCATTTAAAAAAATTAACTTAATTACAATATTCTTGGTTCTTTCGGTAAAGTCACGTAGAAGGGAAGTAATAAACATTAAACAATACAATTCTCACGACATTTCGATTGCAACACGATCAATTGCTGTGGTTTTCACACCTGCCTCCGCAGCAGACCATGCTTTCCCACCTGATGACGGACGCTTGTGTTGCGCCCGAAACGTCGTCATTTATTTTCTACCTACGTGACTTTACCGAAAGAACCAAAGAGTATCGATTCCTGCAGTCACGAAAGCTTCAAATCAAGATATGCGGTCCATAGTTTGTGTTTCACGGCCACAATTTCGCACTACCGTTGCTTGTCTTTAGTGCACCTCGATGCGTCTCTATATCGCCAAGTCTCTCTGCCTTTAGTCTATGGAACCATGGTTTGGGTTTCATGGTCAGAATCGCGTTGCTGTGGGCTCCTATTTCAATTTTCCATTCATGAAGGAGATCATCTTAGGTTTTTTCGGTAAAGTCACGTAGGTAAAACATCAAAATTAATAAAAATAAAATAAAGATAACGACGTTTCGGAGGCAACACTCAAAACGTCGTGATCTTTATTTTATTTTTATTAATTTTGATGTTTTACCTACGTTACTTTACCGAAAAAACCTAAGATTATGAATCCTTGCAGTCACGAAAGCTTCAAATCTAAAATCATGAAGGAGATGTTTCGCATCGGCTCGGTGTCGATGTTCTGATGCGATTGATCGTTACACCAGTTTTCGAGGAGGAATGTCAATAAACATTTCTGTTTTTCTTGCTGTGTGCAGTGCATACGACTACGAGATCCCGCCCATGGACAGACTGGTGGTGCAGACCGACATTCAGATCGCACTGCCGGAGGGCTGCTACGGACGCATCGGTAAGCCGACCCTGGCGCCTGTATGCAGTCGATCATCGATTATCCGGCTGCTTCCAACATTAGCCGGCGGTACCGCGCCGATCCGGCGAAACCGACAAAACCGCTCGAAAGGCTGTAACCAGTCCGGCGATCGGCACATTCCAAAGAACACAGGATGAGATGTTACTATCCTTTGTGCAAGCACTTCCAAGAGTTCATGAACAGTGAGCCTGGTGAAATTTGGGGAGCGCATCGTCAGTAGTGAACCTTTGGGTCCTAGGGTGTTTCGGCCTTTCATACTATACACCCTCCCCAAAGGCGGCCAGCGACAGGGTGATCAATCCTACGCTTGCGTCCCATTCCCAATTAGTCATAGGAGTTGCCTTGTTGTTGATAGCCAACATCCCATGGGACTATGCATGGCAGGGGCGTCCTCCTCTGTGAGTCAAGCATTGTTGACTGCATACCTCCTGGCCCTCTCACTATATAGCGTGACAAAGTAGCTATGATTGATGTCAGTGTTAAATATAATATACAGTACATTATACACAACATACAACTTAAAAAATGAAAATACTGCATGTAGATACCTCGCCATGCAGTTTTTGAGTTTGGAGTGGTGAGTACGGTACAGTAAATATAGGAGCTTTTTAAAGTAGGATATTTATTTTTGTCTGTTTATTTATGCCAATTTCACGTAAACTTATTTAATTTTTTTGCCAGAAAAAAGTGGAAAGCCTATTCTCACACTAATTTAAAACTCTAACAAAAATATATAACACCTAAAAACAAATGCCATACAAGAATGTGCAAAATAATCCATTGAATATAATGATTATTAGTGATTATCCGTCATTTTTGAAAATCTAGCACTGCCAGATAACCGATGATCGACTGTATTTTGAGTTTGCGTGTCTCTCTCTTCCTGTGGTCGCGTGGATTCTTTCTCCGGGTCGTCCGGTTTTTCCCTCCACGTTTAGAATCGACGTGCGTTTTGAGTATTTAACTGCGATAAATGTATACATGATGATAGGCAACCTCGTTGAGCTATCATTTGTGGCCAGGTCGCTTCTGAAAAAAGATCTATATAGTAGCTCAGTGGGCCTTACCTGGTAAAATAAATATAGTTTTGTTTCAAAGCCACCTCCAGCAGTGCCAGCACACAGCAGCTCTCCACATGCAAGACGCGCACTGTGCGGTTTACACACAAACATTAAATTGCGTGTGACGTTTAAACTAAATTCGTTATAATAATAAAAATGTAAAGGCGCAGCCATGTGACTGCTTGCCCTTCGCCACTGCAGGTGGAAAGGCCTCCACTAGAAAGACCTCAAGAGAGTTCCTCCTGGAGGTTGGATTACCCACATTTAACCCCACCTCACGTGACCCGTCGGTCGACTGTGGTATACCCATTTGTGTGTATTGCTGGGTGGACAGGAGTGGGGGAGGATTTAATAAAGTTTATCATTGCTTCAACTGTCATGGTGGGAGATGGCTTCGAACCGCCATCCTCTGGATTGAACGTCCAGTGTGCTAACCCTTTTGCCATGTTATGAAGTGCAAGTCTCCAACCCTTAGTATTAACTCTGTCTCTTTGGCCTCTCTATGTGCTTTGAAGAAGGGTCATTGCCCGAAACGTCTGAAAAAGGAGTAATTTACCAATCTTTTTATTTTAAGGCCACAGCATTATTAACGAATGTGTTGAGTTTTTGTTTGTTTGCAATGGTAGTAACCCGCGTAATAATTGAGAACAAATTTTTGTTTCTGCACAGCTGGGGTTTCGCCTGATCAAAAATATAACTGAATACACGATGCAGGAGCGTGTGGTCATGATCATGTGATGATGATGATGATGATGACGATCATCTCTTGGTAAATAAGTTTGTGATTTATTGGTGTGCTTTGTTTCGGCAGCGCCGAGATCAGGCCTGGCTGCCAAACACGGGATCGACGTCGGAGGTAGGTGCGGCTGTTCGGAATCGGAACCTTTACTAATCCTGGAGAAATCCGATGAGCTATGAAGCTCTTTTTCACAGATGTCTAGCAGGGGTGAGTCAGAACGTTACAGCAACAGACAATACAAAGCACGATAGGAGTACGAAGTTTCGGAAAGATAAGCAAATAAGGAGCTGTCTTAACACTATATGCATATGGACGTATTGGCGGTACTCAGGTGCTCATAAAACAGTCTGACAATGTCACTGTTGCCCTTGAGTGAGCCGCAGACTCTCCATCAGAAATTGCACTTAGAATCAGCAGCCGCTTTCCCATTCGAGCGCGTGACACCACGAGTCATAATCTTTTGATGCCACCGTCCGTCAAGAAATTATTCCGCAAATGAATCGAGGAACCTTTGAAACACGAGCTGAGTGCTGCTATACAGCAGCAGACTATGAAGCTTCGCGTTCAGCCGCTCGTAACATTCGTTTTCTGACCACTTGGACGTCACGAGAACTGATTTTGACGCACACCCCGCAAGATTTTCTGACCGGGGTTGCGAATCGTGATAAAAGCAATAATTATTGTGACAAAAATTTGCTTTTTTTTTTTATTCCGAGCACCGATGTACCGCCAAGACGTTCATATAAGTTTAAGGATTTGTGGTCGCCCCGGTGGCAGCTGTCTTTGAAACCATCCCGGCATGACACCAGGTGCACTCAGCACGGACCTGCAAATGTGAATTGCTCTACCAGAAGGGGGCGGGGGGGGTGATAATGCTACTTGGTTTTTCAAAAGAGAGTAACTTTTGCGAGCAGTTACATTTGGACGATCGCGTCGGCGGTACACATGGCCTTTGTGAATGTGTTGGGGCCTGGATGTGGTGGACCAGATGTCAAAGTATTTTCCCGGGTCATCGACTCCGATGGAGTTGACTGAAATGATGCCCTGAGTCAGGTGTCGCGAGCGGGAAGATTAGGTGGTAGATTATTTTGGGTTCCGTCCCCTTTAAAAATAGCAGCGACCCTCACATCCTGTCTCCCCGAAGGCGGGAACCCCCGCCCCCCACTCAGCATGGCACTGCTCGTGATGCCGATCACGACACTAAAACCTAATTGTCACCTCCCGTCTAGCGGTACACGTAACAGGCGAGACCTTTTACAGGGAGGAACAATGTTCCACACTGCCCACCAGGGATTATTTAGCTGTCTGACTGTCTGTCTGTCGTGCATAAATAAATATATAATACACACAGCTCTTTGATTGGTGGAGACCTACTGCCGGGTACGGAGAGGGGAGGTGCCTAAGGGAGGAGGGAGTCAGGAGAGGGGCCTGAGGGGGTGGGGGGGGGTCAGAGGAGGGGCCTAAGGGAGGGGGGGTCAGGGGAGGGGCCTAAGGGAGGGGGGGGGTCAGGGGAGGGGCCGAGAGTTAAGGGAGCTGTCTGCCTGGCTACCTAAAGTCAAGTTATATTTTATACAGGTAGAGGAACAACAGGTTCCACACTGCCCACCAGGGATTATTTGTCTGTCGTGCACGAATGCGCTGTCCAACCAAGTTCCTACCTGCCCACTCCGAAGGAACGTGTTATAAAACTCATCAGCGGAGCAATGGCTGGATTATACTACCCCCCCCCCAAGCCATCTGTGCCCCTTGTAAAATGGGAAATGTGGTGCACAATTAGTCGAGTAAACAGTAGAGTAATTGATCACTTTAAAAATATCTCCCATTGTTGCTCCCGGTCTGGTTGTACAACGCTTGTATGTGTGATTCCTTTCAGCCGGCGTCGTAGACGAAGACTACAGAGGAAATGTCGGTGTGGTGCTCTTCAACTTCGGGAAGAAGCCTTTTGTCGGTAAATACCTTTTGCCGTGCCACAGCTCTCGTAAACCTTTTAACTACGTATATTACAGTTCGTCAACATTTCCCGGACAGCCGACGGACTGCTTATTGCTGTGCCCAGGAAATATTGTCCGTCTCAGAATGCTACCAGTGTTTTCCAGAGAACTTCAAAACTCTGAAACAAAAATATAAAGTCGCGTTGCACAAATGCACGCGCGTTAAGGCGCGAACGTGTGGGTGTAAGCACATTGCCAACAGGCTCCGTTAACGAGCGGACTTGTAGTATTTTTTGTCCGCTCAAATATTATTTTACTACCACAGCTGGAAAGTTCACATGTTCCATTGCGGGTTGGTAAAAGGGTGGGAGGAGGGACTCAGGAATGGTTCAGACATCACTTCCCAGCAATGTTAGCTGTGGCCCGGAATATTTTTTAGGTCACCAGGTTTGCAGCACAGCGTGGAAATTTGTGCAAAATGCAACTTTTGAGGTATCCACCTTCTTCAGTGAGCAGCGATGCGATTGCTTCAGGAACAAACTAGAGTTCTGAACTCACCCGCCACAGGGCTGGAAAGTGAAATGAACACTTAGAATTGCAAGCGAATATATTAAACCGTCATTCAACTGGTGACACTTGAATGGCACCGTACCAGTTAAACCTGCGGGGCAGGTAAAGTTTAACTTTCACTCTTGGCTTGCATTCAACATGCATATCCTCATTCGAGTAAATGTATAGTAGGCTACTAACAAAATGCAAATATGAAGCCAAGGTACATTGGAGTGAAATTAAATTGCAGTGCAAAATATACCTTCTCCAACATGGAGCTGGAGAGAGATCAATTATTGCATCGCTTGACAGAGACGTCCATCAGCTTTGGGAGGCCTCCATCCAGCAGTGCATAGGTCATGACTGATGATCTTCATTCACATGGCATTCACCGACGAAACTCCCCGCTCAGTTACGAAGCTTCTAACCATTCTTCTACTCATGATATAAGTTGTTGGGTTAAATCAGTTAAATGTAAATGTGTCGTTAAACCCGCCACCACCCGACAGCCAATTAGTCGCGTAAACAAAACATACCAATTCGTTACTAAATTTTGATTTAAAGCTTTCGTGACTGCAGGGATTCATATTCTTGGTTCTTTCGGTAAAGTCACGTAGAAGGGAAATAATAAAATAATAAAAATATAAAACAATCATCACCTGATGATGATTGCTTGTGTTGCAGTCGAAACGTGAGAATTTTTTGTTTTATATTTTTATAATTTCCTTTCTACATGACTTTTCCGAAAGAACCAAGAATATAATTCGTTACTAGTTCAGCACATGAGTGTTGGAGATTAAACCCACAATATTTACAATTCTTTACTTGTTTGCACTCGTTTTGTCCCATTGCAGTTAAGAGGGGAGACCGGATTGCACAGCTGATTTGCGAAAAGATCTTCTACCCCCAGTTGGAAGAGTGCACGGTGAGATTTGACTTGGTCACATTGAGGTGGCCGTGTGGCACAGGCGTCTTAACAAATGAATAGTTCACGCTGACACATTACACGGCCTGATGTTCATTTTGTAGCACCGCGTTTGTTTAAATCGCGTTTCCATGAGAGGTGGGTCTGGTGGCTCTGAAATCAAGGGCATGGAGCCAGCACCGTTGGTTTAAATTCTGTCAAGTGTGTTTTAGAGTATCTTGCTGCAATACATTCCCATTTGATGATAAGCCACTTTGTTGAGCTATCGTTTGTGGCCAGGTCGCTTCTGAAAAAGATCTATAAAGTGGCTCGGTGGGCCTTACCTGGTAAAATAAAATAGAAAGTTATTAAAGTGGTTTCTCAAGTGTGGCAGGTTGATAGTCTCAGCCGAGTTGCCACTGAATGTGCAGATTCTTATTAAAACAGATTTTTCACCTTTTTGTTAAATTCCAGCTTTGAATATGAAAAATATCAGTTTGAATGTCACGTGGCAAAACGTTACTCTGTGACAGAACAAGTCCCCCCACCATTCTGTGGACTTGCAGTCACTTGAAAGGATCTCATAGCTCTGGACATGTGAAAAAAAGAGCTTGAAAACTCATCGTATTCCTACAGTATAAATACATATTCTGATTTCGAGATATACGATATCCACTTCTGTGGGCTGTTCTCTAAGACGGGTAGTTGAACTGCTCTTTGAGAATCTGACTTGATTCTTGGTCCCATGACATGATGCCGGAAATCCAAGTAGCCAATTTTTTTTTAATGTTAACTATTTTTTACGAAATATAAGCGAAGCTATGTTGTACGACTGCCTAACATAAATGTCAATGTTTTGTTGCCGTCAATATTTGCAGTCACTGGAAAACACGGAACGAGGCAGCGGAGGTTTTGGATCGACTGGAAAAAACTAGACGAACGGAAATGAAGTGTGAAGATTTGAGACTTTCGTAACTTGTGTATTGTTCCTGCATAACTTACTGCCATGTAATCAAATGCCAGTCCTTGTAATTTCAATTGCGCTTTGATTACCATTTCACTGTAACTCCAGTATTTGTATTATCTTCAAAAGTAGTTTGGATACATTTCACAATGAGTGTTCTGTTTGTTAGTAAAAGCATTACAAAAAATGTACAGGAGAATATTTTGAGTTTTTTTTTCTATCACCTCATTTACATGGACAGCATACTTGAGTTGCCTCGAGTGCAGCCGAGCTGAAGAGTGGCTTAAGTTGGTAAAACATTTTTTGTATGTTTCCATGATTTTCTGAGTTGTAGAATTGGACAGCTTATTGCTGGAAATATAAAGTGAAACTGGAATTCGGGGGAAGCTACACAGACTAAATATCAATTTATTAAATGCTAATTTCCGAGCAGGTTGCTTGAAAGTCAGGTCTCTGTGGTGTATGCAACTGGTTGCAGAGCCATCCTCCATATGTCAGCAATCTAGTCTCATACAGTATTCCCTTTTCACGAGGGATACCTTTCGGAATTGCTTGTCAGTAGAACATTTTGCGGATATTGGCCTACGAATATCGTACGCGCAACATATGCAGATGTTTCTAAAGCTTCGAGAAGTAATCTCTCATCACTTTTATCTCATCACTTTATCTCATTGCAGTTGTGCAGAGTTCCAAATGAGATTACAAAATCCCAGATAGCAAGTTCATGAGCAACGAGGGAAAAACCGCATGAGCAAGTTGCGCAACTGATCACGCGAGTGTGGAGATAGTTTAAAGTGATGCAGGGTTTTCCTATAACTAGTTTATGGGCAAGTGAGAGCCCAAAGGTTGCAAAGGAGACCCGGGAGAAAAACTTGTCATCAGCAATGATACTGGTAGGAACGAAGTGGACCAGCCACCAATAGATTATTTCGTCCGTCCATCCGTGTAGCAACATCGCCCCCTACTGCAAACACTTGGCATGACCCTACAAAAACCTTTAGACTCAGTGACGCTTTCCTGGTTAAACAAGTGTAACATTCCCTTATAATTCCCTCAGATAGCTTTTAATTAAAACATTTAAATTATGAGGCTTTCCTGGCTAAACACGTGTAACATTCCCTTATAATTCCCTGATAGCTTTTAATTAAAACTTTGAAAATAAAAAAAAACTCAGCGCCCTAAAGCCTACAGCTAGGCCTAACGCCTAGAACTAGGCCTCAATCTCTCCCTTCGTATCGTCCGATTAGGTGTAGCAACATCGCCCCCTACTGCAAACACTTGGCAGGACCCTACAAAAACCTTTTGACTCAGTGGGGCTTTCCTGGCTAAACAAGTGTAATAATACATTGTTTACATTCTTTGGTTATTCGTTCCTACCAGCCCACCCCACAGGGTCCTGTTAAGTCCACTCCTTGATGTAGGCTTCCCCCACCTCTCATGGTCTCGCAATGATGGAACAATCCTTGCTCCAGCACGTGAACCGATTGAAACGCTCCACCTACGTGGTGGATGTCCTCTGTGATATTCCCTCCCACAAGCATTCCATATAAAAATGTCACCGCTTGAGTACAAAATTGTCTTTATTAATGTCGTGGGCTTAAAAAAATATTAATACCAAGTAAATGCATTCTTTAACAAAAAAACGAAATACACCATTACTGCATGCATGATAAATCTCAATTGTAAGAAATGTCACGAATATAAAACACTGAAATTGTCTCGGAACAGAAAACGAATGGTGGCAAAAGCGCTGCTCTTGCAGGAATTTAACTCGAATCCAACACTTTCTGGACTTGAGAATACCCATCGCAGGAGAATGCATGCAGGTTGGAGATAAGTAGATACACATACATGCTCACAAACAGCAGAATCGTAAGGCACGACTTCCATCGCCTTGCGTGCGTGCGTGCCATGCCGCCACGTTTCATGTGTACAATGCTCTCTAAGGCTTGCCGGCCACATTTGGATCTTGAGCTGAGAGCAGTTATTTGAACGTATTGGCGGTACACCGATGCAGCATAATGCACCGGTCCTCATAAAACAGTCTAAAAATCTAAATTTAAATTAGCAAATCTGTTCATCAGTCTTCAATTGACACTTCGAAGGCTTATTCAATCTACTAATAAAGGTCTATTGCCCCGTTGATTTGGGTCCGTCGAATTGAAGAACGTCAAGCACACAAGTCAAATCTGCCTTTGAAACATGGAGCAAGCCATTCGTCATCAGCTTGGGCGCTGCTATTTGGCAACGGACTGAATCTTCGTGTTCAGCCACTTGTAACGTTTGTGGTCTTCCGACCACTTTGACATCGCAAGAGCTGATTTTGATGCACACCCCTGAAGATGTGAAAACATAAATAATGATTGCAATTTTTTTTACGCTCATTTCATATACCGCGCAGCGTACCGCTAATACGTTCATCTCGAGGAGCTAAACTTAAGCCGAGGTTCACAGTTGAATCTGCAATGGGCCATTCTCATCTGCTGAGGTATACACATTAACAAAGCGGAATAAAACGGCACCTTTTAGCTGTCTTGGGGAGTCGCGTGAACTAACCCGGCAGGCCTGTGGCCACAGCGTTTACAGCAACACTTTGCAACTTATACCAATGGAACCTCATTTGGCAGTAAAAAAATATGATAATTGTTTTTTTACCCTTTTATCTGGCAACAAAACTGACACATTTTTTACAAGGAGTCATGTTTGCATAGACCACAATACCTGCAGTCATTATGCAGAGTTATGTTTTTTGTGTGCATTATGACTGCAGGTATTGTGGTCTATGCAAACATGACTCCTTGTATAAAAGCTGTCAGTTTTGTTGCCAGATAAAAGGGTAAAAAAACAATAACACTTTGCAACTTGTACAGCAGCACTTGTGAATCCAATGCTGCATGAGAGCCGCGTGAGTTGTGCAGAGTTATTTGACCATACTTCACCACGCCGGTCAGTGAAGGTGGGGAGTGTTGGTGAAGGAGCGTAGAAAGAGCACAATAATATCCCGATGTACATCTTTCCCCCCACCCTTTACGTCGTCATTATGAATACCAACGTCCGATTTTTGTCGCCTCAACCTCACACCCACACGTCGCCTCTCGCTACCCTGTAAACCGCTTTGATTTAGATCGTTTCGGTATTTGTCTTCGCACCTTTCAGGAACGCACCCCCCCCCCCCCCTCGTAAACTGGGGTTATATTACTGAATGACAATAGCTTATGCTGCATTGCCCAAAATGGCTCCACAGCTTCTAAGAACTGTTATGCATGGCGGTCACCAACCCAAAGCACTTTCCAGGCTCAAACCTGCTTGGCATCTGAAATATGATGAAGATCGCGTGCATTCTGGGTCATTTGGTCACAGACGGTGTATAATAAACACGTCTGTATGCAAAAATGTGTTTTGACTTTTTTTAAATCTGTCATTTAGTTCTGTTTTTCCCATTACCCTAGATGTAACAGCATAGAGTTCGCGTATTCTTTGTACGGATAGTAAATAAGAAAATTCTCTCAATCGTGATGCGACATCACGAGCGTAAGAATAAATACAAATTTTATCGATGCACCTTCACACATACCTTTTGCCCGAGGCTCACAGAGCCAGACTCGATAAAATGTTTACTCCCAAAAAATCCGGAATGTAACTATTCTCCCCTTTTCACTATCGCGAACCCTTATTTTTCTAACACTAGCAAATAGAGCGCCTTCAGTGAATCGGAATATTTATTTTTATACTGGAGGAATCCGATGAGCAACAAAGCTATTTTTCACATATCCAGTGGATTGTAGGCATCACGTGAAACTAATGTAAATATAACAATAAAAAAAATATATAATTGAGGCATGGACACGTCGGTGCAGGAGAGAGCTCTTGCAGCACTGGAGTGGCATTCGGGACCCCGTCCAAGATCACTCGCCACCGATATTAGCCGTGGCCAGGCATCGAACTCCAAAGGCTGGTAATTGGAACTCGGACCGCTGGGTTCGTAGTGCGGTGTTGTAACCGCTGTGATCACCGTTCCACCCAGGGATGACTTCCCCGTGCGGTGTCAGTTATTGAGGTTGTTTGCCTACTTCGCCACGACAGACCTTGATAGAGAGCTCGTGCATCGCAATGTAAAAAAATATCTATTTAGGAATCTTTTGTGTCGATTCTAACGCGCGTGATTTGATGTCTATCAAGCACCTTAGGAAAAGCTTAATTGATAGTTCTAGATTTGAAGCTTTCGTGACTGCAAGGATTCATACTCTTAGTTATTTCGGTAAAGTCACGTAGGTAAAAAATGAAATTAAAATTAATAAAAACAATAAAAATCACGACGTTTCGAAGGCAACACGAGCTTCCATCTTCAGGTTTTCACCTGAAGACGGAAGTTTGTGTTGCCTTCAGGCGAAAACCTGAAGACGGAAGCTTGTGTTGCCTTCGAAACGTCGTGGTTTTTATTGTTTTTATTTTTATTAATTGATAGTTATCGATGAGTCGATGAATTGTTACACATCTTACGTGTATGAAAATAATGCTTTTAACGCTACAATTAACATAAATGTGCAAATGTATAAAAAAAAAAACACGGTACGCAAGCGACAGGCAGTTAACTTAAAAGTTAAAGAAATGAAATGTACTTCATTCAGTTCAATGCACAAAGTTCAGCTTTTGGTTTTGTATTTTGGCTCGGCGTAATTACCGATGAAACGTCCACGGACAAGTAATTTTGGAGCTTATATTCTTCATTTGTTTGTCAATTTTATCCAAATTGTGCTTTTGGTGTCAAGTCATCAGCCCAATAATTCGCTATGTAACACGATTTTTGTTCCTGGGTAGTAAGTTTTATTTGTTTTTGCTTCAAAAGTATAGAAAACTTAGCTTTTGTTACCAGGACTTTATGTGAAGGAATTACACAAATGCACACGATTTTTCATTGAAAATAGGTAAATTTCAAATATCACTGTCCTGGTCACAAAAGCAAAGTTTGTGGGCAATAATAGCCATTTTCTGTACTTTTGAGGCATAAGCAATTAGAAAGTAGCACTACCCAGGAACAAAAAAAATCATTTTTGTTACGCAGTGATATAATCTATTCAGTCGCAGATGCAGATATCGAAACGACTTCTGAGATCCCTTAAAAGTGCACACGTTAAGCGGCAGCACTTTCCCACCTGTCCTGCCACGGAGTAATGTTCATCATGGGACCTCCTTTGCCAGTACCAAAATATACTAATAGGGTTTTTCCCCTTTTTTCTGGCAACAAAACTGACACCTTTTGCAAGGAATCATGCTTACATTAACTACAATACTTGCAGTCAAATCATATGAGACTAGGCTCTAAAGAAAGCTGTCTGGTGTGGACCAATCAGTTTCAAAGACAATGCATAAATTATCAGAGTATTGTTTTTTGTTTGCATTTGACTGCAAGTATTGTGGTTAATGTAAGCATGATTCCTTGCAAAAGGTGTCAGTTTTTTTGCCAGAAAAAAGGGGAAAACCCCTATTAATGTTCGTTGCATGATGGTCGAACAGATATTTTTTTAAATCTCAGAGCTGAAATTTAGCCAGATTAAGGGTCTCTGCGAGTCGCTGATGATCAGGCTGAGGGCGATAAGCTCGCTACACTTGAGAAACCTGCCTTAAAAGAACAGGCAGCTGAAATCTGCATTTGCGTTCAGGAATCTCTGGTGCTATCCCCGCGTTCTGACCTCTCGCCGATGTGGTTTTAATGAAATGAGTGCGCCACAGAACATCGGCACAGGCGCGTTGAAACTGCGTCACTATGAAATATAAATAGTCCGACCCAAATTGATAAAAAAATATATATATGGGCCCAGGAAAACTTTCATGTGTATTAATTTTTACAGTGTAATTATAATATCAACTATTTACCAGTAAAGCCTGGCCGAGTCTCAAGTCTTCATGAGTGTCCTGCAACTTTGGGATGTTTGGCCTAACTCCGTTGAAATCCAACGGCGCCGCCATTGCTCACCCCCCACTCCCACCCCCTACCAGCACGCGCCCATCTGTTGTACGTCGATGGCGCCGCCGAGGAAATCGATTTGACGCGCCGGCGCTTGCGGTTACCGACTCGCGGCACCGTCGCCGCCGCCAACAACGTCGGTGGCCGTCGGGCCCAACCTCCCCGGCCCCCGTCCCCCTCCTTCGTCTTCCCCAGCGGCGGCCACGGCGGCGGCTTCGGCGTGCGCCAGCCACGTGTGCGCCAGCTGCCTCGCCGATCCCAACGTCGACGCCTTCGAGTTGCGGCACATGCGCAGCTGCCTCGGCTCCAACGCCGGGTCGCACCGCACCTCGTGGTGGAGGTGAGCCACGCCGGGGTCCGGGCTGCGGAACACGGCTAGCCCGCCACCGGCACCGCCGCCGGCACGAGCCGCCACCACCTTGCCGAACAAGTCGACGTCCTCGAGTCCCCAGCCCGTAATCGATGTGTCGAAACCGCCGGCACGGGCCAGGTCGGCGCGATGCAGGCAGGCGATGCCGTAGCCGAACGCGCGCCACATTCCGGCGCGATCGGAGAAGTCGAAGGGGTCGTCGTCGTCGTGGCGACCGTCGCCGTCGTCGCTCGTGGGCGAGCGGCCGCCCCCAGAGTGGACGATGCGCGGATCATACTGGCTGAAGATGACTGGGAAGTAGACTTGGCCAACCCTCCCGTCGTCGTTGGCGCTGCCGGTGGTGGGATCGACGCGACCGGCGTTGTCCCGGCAGCGCTGCAGGGCGTCGGCTGTGAAGGCCAGGTCAACGTCGCAGAAGAAGAGGAGGGCATCGCCGGGAAACTGCGACGACCCCACCTCCAGAGCCAGGCCTCGCGAAAAAGGCCCGGTCACGCTCAGCACCTCTATCTCCGCCTTCGGGTAGCGCCGGCGGTACTCCTCTACCAATGCCTCGGGTCTTCCCACCGCGTCCCCGTCGCCGCCGCCACCGCCGCCGTCGTCGCTCGAAGGGCGAAACAGCAGCAGCACCAGCTTAATGTTCTGCGGGCGAGCCAGGCACACGCGCTCAAAGTTCTCCATGAACCTGACAAACGCCTTGTACCGCCCGGCCAGCGGCACCAGCATGTGGATCCTCTCCCGGCTGGGCCCGGCGGCCGCCAGCACCGCCTCAACGGGGGTGCGGCCGAACGGCGCGAAGAGCCCGAGCGAGTTCGATAGCTTCACCGCGAGCAACGAACCGTCGCCGGCATTACCGCCGGCGATACCGCCGCCGTCGGCCGAAGCGGCGGCAGCTGCGGCGGCGGCGCTAGCGTCCACGGCCGCGGCGAACTCGGCGGCTTGCATCTCGCGCTCCTCGGCGAATTCGGCGCGGCCGAACGTCTGCTGCAGGTAGGCGTGGCGGCGCACCGGCACGGCGGCGCGCTTGCCCTCGCTGCGGCGGTACGTCATGAGGACGTCCAGCACGTAGTCGGCGCCGTGCAGCGGGTTGACGCGCGCGTAGCCGTACAGGATCTCGCGGAAATCGATGGCTCGCCGGCGCGCCCTAGCGCGGGCGTCGATCATTTCCATGAGCTGGGCCACGACGGTGCCGTCAAGCGCCGAGCGGAGGGCGCCGCCGCTCAGGGCTTGGCGGGGGCCCTGGGCGCCGGCGCGCGCCGACCAGAGGTGCGTGCCGGTGAAGAAGTCCCACTCGAGCACGTGCTGGCGGTCGCGCGGGTGGAAGCGCATGAAGGAGGGCGAGGCGCCAAGGCGCCGGTCCTCTGACGACACGTCCAAGGCGGCGCTGGCTTCGTCGTCGCCGCCGTTATCGAGCAGCTGCTGAGCCTCCGTCTGCGTCGGGTAAGATATAATAATAACGTTTTAATGAATACAAACTCAACACGCCTCTCTCCGCCGTGCTTTCCGCGTCGTACCGCGTGAAGCGCGCCGTGACGTCTGATGTTACGCGCTCCACGCACTGGCAGCTTCAGGAACTGATTTTTTTTACATTTTATTTATCTCGACAAAACTGAAGACAGCTCTGTGATAAATGATGAAATTACTGAAATACAGCCCCTCTGAAATAAATAGATTCAGGGAGTAAACTGAAGAAACTTAATTTACTATTAATCGAAAACAGCCCTAATACGGCAAGGTCCTCATTTATCGCGGTAGATGCGTTCCTGAAAAGTGCTACGCTGTGCAAAAAACGCATTTTAACGAAAATATTTCCGCATAAATAACGATAAAGTTTGCAGAGATACTACTACGCATACGCAGCGAGATGGCGGGGCAAATAATGGAGGGTACGCTGCTGCTGTGCTGTATCATTCCGCGTACTGTATCACTGTACCGCTCAGCTGTGCAGCTCAAGAAAGTAGTTCATCGTCGACCACGAAGAAACCGCATTATAACGGTGCACGCGTTTCACGTGTTTCCCTCGTGCAAGAGACGCGTTATAGACAAAACGCGTTGTGTGAACACCACGCGTTAAGCAAGGACTTACCGTGCGTATATTTTTGTTATATACATATACACATCTTCTTGGTTCTTTCGGTAAAGTCACGTAGAAGGGAAATAAGAAAATAATAAAAATAAAATATAATAAAATAATTCTCAAGACGTTTCGGCCACAACGCAAGCAGCCGTCCTCAGGTGAAGAACAGGTCTGTCGGAAAGACAGCGTCTGAATGAACACCACCAAGCTTGGCAGCGTATATTTAAGCTTTATTATTTTATTATTTCCCTTCTATGTGATTTATTTATTATTTCCCTTCTACGTGACTTTACCGAAAGAACCAAGAAGATGAATCCCTGCAGTCACGAAAGCTTTAAATCGATACATATACACACATTAGGTGTCGTTTTTTTAATAGATGTTACGACGATGGGTGCAACTTGGCACGTGCCGAAGACCGTACCCTCCACCCCGTCTCACCGCAGTCTGCAGGATCTGCCGGTGCAGCTCGATGGTCTTGTGGCGCAGCTCTTGGGCACGTGAAGCGAGCAGCAGCGAGTGCAGGCGGTACTGGTACGCGGGGCGCTTGTTGGGGTGCAGAGTGATGGCGCGGTGCAGTTTGCTCGCCGGCAGATCTTGGATGTAGCCGCGCTTGTTGCGTTCGTAGTGCTCGTAGAACAGCTGCTGCATCTGCGGTGGGAGCGGCGAGATGGAGTAGACATGGCGGTGAGGGCGGTGAGCAGAGGTCGCAAACGGGTTTTGATTCCTTACCCGTACCCGGCCGCACCAGGGTCGCAAACGGGTACCCGTACCCGGCCGTACCCGTACCCTACCCGTACCCGGCCGGGTACGGGTAGGGTACGAGTATCGGGTCACTGATTCCGACCTCTGGGATGAAGCCATGTTGCAGGCGCGGGTGGGTTGATTCTAGGAACTTGAATCATAAGTGACGGAGTTAATTTGGGTAAAATCAATGAAAATGGGGTATGCCGATAGCATAAAAATGAGATGTGATAGAGCAAATCTGAGATCAGATTTGGAATCAGCACCCTGAAATTAGTCTAAAACAGCTGCAAAAGTCCAGGCCAGAAACTTTTTTTTGTTGACCAGTGTTAATGGAGGCTCAAGCTCCCTCCTGTCCCATCCTCAGCCGACTTTCTGACCCTACAATCATCAGCTCCGTCTAGGCCAGTTCTGCTGCATCCATGCAGCTACCTCTGCCAGACAGTCTGGTAAGTTAAGCAGGCGAGAGCTGCAGCTGGGTTACCTGAGAAGGAGACATATGGGTGTCATCGGTGTACTGATGGCACTGAAACCCGTGCCTTCGGATGACAGTTCCCAAGCAGCCTAACGTAGGCACTGAATAAAAGGGGAGATAAGACTGACTGCTGAGGGATACCGTGAGGGGAGGGTCTAGGGGGGGACACATGGGGACCCAAGGCCATCTGCTGGGTCCTGTCCTGCAGAAAAGATCCAATCCACTGTTCGATGACTAACCATCGATGGCTATCCATCGAACAAAGACGTTCACTGCATCGCGCTCTTTCAGATGCGCTTCTGCGGCTGTCTGGAACGCTCTTCCTTTGTGATATTAGAAAGCCACTGCAGCTATGCGCTTTTTAAATATTGAATGAGAACGATGTAAAGAAGCTCAACATACATAGAGAAAGAGTGAATACATATCTTTAGCTGAGCAAGGTTGTCAGAACTTGGGATGATGGGAGGACATTTTTAAGTTAAGTAATGTGTTTGGGAAAAAGGCAGAAAGATAAAGTGTTTGGACCTGTAGTGTAGTGGTTCAACACACTATGGATGAGATGAATCAATCTGGCTCATAGACCAAGTCCGAGAAGATGGGTGGCTCAGGCTAGAGGGCTGAGCTGGCACTGCTGAGACGCTAGGTTTGATTCCAGGTTTCAAACTTTGTGTAATTAAACCGGGTTTACATTTTTGTGAGCTGAGAATCTTAGCCTGGTCCACCCGATGACTGTACAAAAAAAGCCATTGCATAAAATTAATCTTTGCACTTAATACGGCTAGATTCCAGCTCTCGATATGAACATCAGGTGGGATCATGCAGCAAACATTTCTCTCAACGACAGGGCAAGTGGGAAAGTGCTGCCCCAAATATGTGGACCAGATGTCACCTCATTCCAGATTGAAACTCATTTCTACACTGCTTGTGTTTAGTGTGTTGTCCTTCCCACGCACATCCGATTAGCACGCTTGGCTATGTATGGTGTGAGTCAGGGGCGGTTTCTTCATTAGGGCGATTGGGCGACGCACCACCAATCTCAGCCGTTACTGTGCCTCTGGATATAGTCCAATCAGCGTCATGTCACGTTCTGTGGAGTACCGCCTCTTTTTGGGCGATTTCACTCCGGCTGAGAATCGCCCCGAGTGTTCCATAGACTTACATTCAAAGATGTTTTTTTCGAACGGCGGGCGCTGCAATGCATTCTCTACGGCTTCCGGGAGGGCTCGCACTAACGTGCTTACGTCATCATACGTGCTTACGTCATCATACGTAAGCACGTTTCAGTCAACAATATTATTTGTCGCCACCTAGTGGAATCTTTAATAGAAGAAACTGAGTGGATTGTAATAATATGAGTATAGAAACAAACAAGGAGATGTATTGTAAGAGTCACTTTATTTTTCATTAATATTAAAGTAGTGAAGTTGCCTTTACATGCTTAAGCTGTTAATTTATCCATTGCATGGGTGGACCTTATCCCTATCAATCATCCAGACATTTGCCCCCCCTGAGAGATTTTGCAGGAGCCGCCACTGGTACGAGTTCAAAAACATACAAACTAACATACACCCGAAGGGCTCTAATAGGTAGTAGCACTGCACTACGAATCCAGAAATCTGGGTTCCATTCCCGACCATGGCTCACAGTTGCACGTGAACCGGTCTCAACATGTTCATTGCCCGCAACACCATTGGCACGTCACGGCACGGCTTCTCTGCAGCGGGAAAACATGCTGGGATCTTTAGATTTAAAGCTTTCGTGACTGCAGGGATTCTTCTTCTTGGTTCTTTCGGTAAAGTCACGTAGAAGGGAAGTAATAAAATAATAAAAAAAACATAATAACATTTTGCAAGCAGAATTTTTATATGTTTTATTTTATTATTTTATACTTCCCTTCTACGTGACTTCACCGAAAGAACCAAGAAGATGCTGGATCTCCCCGAGGCCGTGCAAGGCGCAGCTGGTATTGTGCGAGCGTAAAAAGTGGAATTGTCATCTCGGCACCACCAGACACATTCCCACATTTCGCAAGCTGAATTTTTTGGCCAGACAGCGAGGGCATGGGCCCAAACCACTGCTGCCACCACCCGCAGCCGCTGTTGCTTCCAACTTGGAAGAGACAGCGGTGCTTTTTTGGAAAGCATCTGGATCATGATCATTGCCAGGAAAAAACCTCTGGTGACAAATGCCTCGTTATGAAACCGACTTCTTATGCATGGGGGGAAACTTGGGCTCAGTATCGTGTGTCGGTCAAACTGGCAAAATATATTTTTAGGCGAAAAGAAAACAAATCTAGGCGTAGAGTATCGGCGTATCAGGCGGTTGTCTTTCTCAGTTTAACACGTAGGCTTTCGCGACCAATGTTATTCATAATCAACGTTTTTGGGTTTAGATCGCGTTTATTTATAAATGTGTCGTATATAATTACAATAACTCCCCCCTTGAATCTTGGCACCTGATGAGTTAATGATGACGTCACCCTGCTGCTGCTCTATATAAGAACGGGAGACACAGGAGAACCTCACCATTCTGGCGAATTGCCCGATGATGCTGGTTGCAATTACCAGCGAAACGTCGTACTCAAATTGTAAATGTTGTGGCTTCAACACACCGGTGGGCTAAAGCAGTGAACTATTTGTCTTTGTCAACGTGACACTTTTTTACTGATTGGCCGTGTCGGGTGGTGGAGGGTTACGACACATTCATAAATAAACGCGATCTAAACCCAAAAACGTTGATTATGGGTTGTCTTTCTGTACACTTGGACATTTGTGTAGACAAAGGGATCGATGAATATTGCCAGGAAAACCCCTGGCGTCAAATGCCCCATTCCGAAACAGACTTCTTATGCATGGCGAAACTTCAGATTGCTATCATGTGTGGGTCTAACTGCCAATTTTTTTTTGGCGAAAAGAAAGATAATCTACGCGTACAGTATCGACATTGTCGGGCAGATGTCCTTTTGCACAGACAATGGAGAAGAAATGGATTCGTCAAATTCTTTAGTGTTTTTGTTTGGGTCAGACGGTGTCGGTACGATGTCAATTTAAGCTGTGGCCAGCCGATACGGCCAGGTTGTCAACGCGGACACATTTACCAACTTGCTTTTTTTTTCGCTTTTGGAAAGCGAAGGGGAATTGGGCAGTTATAGTACCACGTTTCGCTGAAGAGTACACCCAGCATGGTCAGGTAGGGTAGCCAGAGCTCACATCTCGAGTGAATGCGCTTCCTAATCCGCGTCCCTCAAGTAGGTGGCCTTGAAGACATCAGAAAACCACACGCAGTTACAAAATTTCGAATTTGCTCACTTTTGTAAAATGCCGGTTTGCTGTAAGAATACAAATCAATTGGCACATGACCCATCTGCCAACTTGATGTTTTCTTTGTTGGCTTTTTGTGTCTAGTTTGTTGTCCTTCCCCGCAAGACCAATTCGCAGAGGTTGGCCACATACGGTTCGAAATAAGTTCACATACAGACACACATAGGTTAGATGGTGGAGGGATTATCGCTCTCATTGACATTACAACTGCACAAGCCGAGCCAAAATAACCAAGTATAAACTATATCTTGGTTCTTTCGGTAAAGTCACGTAGAAGGGAAACAATAAAATAATAAATATAAAACAATAAAAAAGAACCAAGAATGTGAATCCCTGCAGTCACGAAAGCTTTAAATAAAATTTAATTATAAACTGTTTACATTCCTCTAGTGTTTAACATTGACTGTGGAATACACCCCTGAGTTTTGGTTCTATGTCACCCCCTCCCCCTTTAAACAATTTCAAGTTTACGGCTGAGCTCAAGCAGTAGAATTTCACCTAAAGAACTTACTGATCTCGTCGCATAATTCATCGCGCAAACTATGGATGTTCAACTTCTTTCGCACCGTACGTAGCCGGTCAGCCACGCAGCGGCTTTTGGCTCACCATCGAACAGAGACGCTGGTCGTCGCATCGCGCTGCTTTCATGCGCGCTTCTGCGGCCTCCTGGAAATCTCTTCCCTTCCCACATTAGGAAGCCACTGGAGCTATGCACTTTTAAATATAGATTGACAATCTAATTTCTTTAGAACTGCTTTGTGTTCAATTTGTTAGCACGGTTGACTACGTACGGGTGCGAAAGAATTTCAACAAACATAGTTTTGTCCGGGTTCTCAAGATTTTTTTTTTTACCATGACAAAAACTAAATCCGCACAATCAAACCGGTCAAGTGTTGCTTGTGTTGAGCCAACGCCGCTGAAATGACGCCGTGCGGCGCGATGGGTGCGAAGAAATTCGACGTACATACATATACAGTACATACGGGGGAGCAAAGGATAAAATCTTTCAAGTGTGGCCATGGAAGGCGAAGCAGGCGCCAGCCCAAGTGGGGCACCGCTGGCATGCGCTGTCAGGAACGCGCTGGCAGATTTAACGCGTTTCGGCGAGAGGCTACATTTTTGCCAGCGGTCGAGGTGTCGGGCGCCTCGGCGCGCGCCAGTGGGTCAGCAGTCGAGGAGTATAATCGTAAAGTGTGTATCGTGGTGGTGGTTTTTTTTGTAGACGTCGT